TTTGATGATCCCCTAGCACTGGCAAATCATTACAAAACCTACCAGCAGTCAGAAGACCTTCAGTGCTGGTGGTGCCAAAGCATTTGGACCCAACGCCTTCTCTGGTGCTGCAGTGCCTAGAGCTGAGATACTCTTAGTTCTCAGGTTAGAAGTGCAGTTTTAAAGATGTTGCTTTGCATGGTCGCATGGGGGGACAGGTGCTTCATTGCTGTCAGAGGCAAGTTTTTGTTATTCGGGTATTTGAAGAAAGTTTGTTTTTAAACATCTGATCAAGATTTGAAACAGCAGTAGCTGTAATGTTGCTAGATTTAATCTTGGTTAATGGATTCTTGTAGTCAAGGAATTATAGAAGTTGCTGGACTATTTGCAAACCCAGGTGTTTGTGAAGAAATAAAGAAGTATTTAAAGATGCTTATTTGCTGAATAGATGATGACCTGGGGAGCAAGGCATTATAAAAGAGAGAAACTAATAATTATAATAACAAGCATTGCTACCTCTCAAGGTTGTGCTGTGTTAGTTAGAAATAAGCAATTACGGTTTCTTTCTTCCCTACCTCAGGGAATTTTAGGCCAAAATTAGTAAAGTGAGATTCCCTTCTTTGCCATTTTATGATCTCTTGATTGGACTCCCTATTAATACGAAGCCAAAAACTCCTTTGGTATTATATTTTCTGAATATGTACTGTGTTAATGAAATTTATATAATTCTAAAGGTTATAGAAAAACTGTAGTGCCTGCTGTTTGTGCCAGAATTTGTGTGCTCTAGAAGAAAATTAACCACTTGGCTTTAGTCAGACTCTGTGTGCAAGAGTAGTTTCACATTGGCAGTATTTGAAAGCCACAGTGAGAATTTGTCTTTATCCTGCTTAGTGCTAGTACTTTTCACAATCTGTCACTTGCTATGTGAAGTAGAATCAAGAAGAAGTTATATGAAAAGATGACGTTAAGCAGGGATGAATGAACTCATAAGAAATATCACTCAGAGTGTATTGAGAAGAAAACAGTCTTCTCAGATCTACTGAGCAGGACTAAGGTGAGACAAACTAAAAAAAAAAAAAAGTGCATAAATAGATACAATTTTCCTGCTTTTAAGTCTACGTTGTTTCCACTTACACTTTCCACCAGTGTTTTCACAGCTGTCAGTCACTATGGCTTGAGACCAGAAGAATAAATGGAGAGCTTAAACTATAAACACCTATTTTCTAGATTTGTTATCACTCTGAGTAGCATCCTAAAAAAATGATTTTTTTTTTCAAACATTTGTCAATTTATTTATTTTTAAATCCAAGTTCTAGATTATGTGATAAAACACCCACAAAGGATCTCAGAGAGACAATGTCTGGAGAGAGAGCCCAGACAATAGGCTGCTGGGCCCATCACAGGAGCCAGCAACCCATCAAAGGCCCATCTGCACAAGCCCAGGGGAACCCAGGGATGCACAATAGCAGGCAGGAACCCAAATCAAGGACTCTTGAGGAATGACCACCTTGTCCGGTCCCCTCCCAAAATATGGAAAAAATGAAGCGTCAGGGCGAGGACCAGAGCTTTGTAAGGAGTAGTCACACAGTGTGGTTTGGCTTGATACAACTTCCCTTGTTCAGACATGGCAGACAGAAAAACAAGACTTTTCTGGATTACTCCTGATGAAGATAATGTATTGGAATTCTGCACTCTTGACAAACTTCTGTGAAAATGAATTTAGGTTATATTAGTATAAACTGTAAACTGTAGGGGGAGGTTTTAATTATTTATTTATTTATTTATTTATTTATTTATTTAAGAGTTGTGAAAATTAGATAATGGCTTTTTTTTTTTTTTTTTTTTTTTTTTTTTTTTTTTTTCCCAGCATCTGTCATACAAAAAGGTGCCTCCCTTGCAAGAAGTGTTGAATACAGTTTGGATGCAGTTCTTGAGCCCAGATTCATCTGATCCCTACCTAAATGCCTAAATGCCTGCCTACTGTGTTATCTAAACGTTCCACCTGAATGCCTGTACCTTGTGCTTGAGCAGCTTTGATCAACCTACTCTGGAATTGGTAGCCACCAAACCAGTAAGAAATATTTCACCATAAATTAGATGGGATTTAACCTCTATAAATCTGGGTCTATCATTTCCTTTTGATCTTTGGCTTCTAGTTCAGGTGTGCAGATATGCCCAGTGTAAGAGTGATGAAATAATGACTTATTACTTCGTGTGTAAATGAGAGACAAAAACTTGATCAAAATTACTTTAATTCCATTTCTTTTTAGCCTGTGATTCATATGTACATATACACTTACTTGATGACAAATATTATTTTGTACTAGTGTAACTTGGACCAAGATGAATACTTCTGTAACATACTACACTGTGTTACAAATTAAGGTATATTTTGGGACTGAGCATCTGTAAATGATCTGTCTGCTGTATATTTTATGATTGTTCTTCATAAGGTAATTCAGTCGTGTTGCTGGTGTTGCCAACATGGGGAAAGCTTCCACTTAATGAGCATCTATAAAAATATAGCTTTTTACATTGAGAACTAGCCACCTGGATTTTTACATATTCCATTTACCGTGTTTCTTTCCTATGCCTTGAGGAAGGGAGGCAGCCCACTGTCAAACACAGATATGTAGATTTTGAGGAATGGGAGGGAATGAAAAAGGAGTTCAGTACAACCCTATTAGCCAGATGTTTACCCTCATGTTATGCAGTGACATCTGCAGATGAAACACAGTCCTGTAATTATAACCAATTACCAAAGCATGCAGATTTGAGAGATGAAGAACCACGTCTTAGTCTGGGGTGTTGTGTACAAGTTTCATGTACCACCAAAATTGAAGAGGTAGCTTGTACTTTAACCTAGAGGCTTAAGGCTCCCAAATAAAACATACAGGTGTTTGTGTCTGCCTTTGGTGTGAAGATGAAGTTTAAAACACATCAATACTGAATTAATGACTTTTCAGTTTTGTGCAGATTAGAAAGCAATCTGATGGCTCTTAGTTTTTGAAGTATGATTAATGTGCATTTATTTAGCTCATCACCAAAACTATTGAGTACTCCTTCTAACCAAATTCAATCAGCTTGTTAGTGGAAATGCAAAGTCAGCACATCTAAAATATCTAAAACCACGCTTTTCCTAAACAACCTCAAGGGTCTTCTATATATCTCACACAGTCTGAGTGAAGGAAACTAGTGATCTCTCTGTTCCTCTTCAAAAAGTCTTGACCCATCTCTTGTCTTTCTTTCCTATGGCTGCAGTACCATCCTAGCTTAGAACAAGTGAAATATTTTTTTGATTATACTGATGTACTTTTGATCATGTATAAACATCCTAGCAATACAGGGCTTTGACTAATAGAGACAATAGTGCTCTGTAACTATAAGTGAGTGAGGAAGGGTCTTTGTAAATGAACTGCTTTTGAAGTTCCATAAAGTGCAGTAATATAAAAATACTGGTTTTGGAAGTACCTGCTCTTTTAATGTTTACAACAAATTGGAACTGTAAAGATATTAAGGAAGAAACAACTTTTCACTTGATTTAATATTTTTGCCTGAAGTCTTGTTCAGACCATTTTCCATGTTTTGAGACTTAGCAATCTTCACTTTTAGAATAGGTCTCCCCTCCTGTTCTTATATTAGCACAAAGTGCTGTAGTCTTGTGGCCAGTCTGGCCTATTTCAAAGAAAGTATTTAATTTATTGTAAATTTTATTTTAATAAAATCTGAATTTCATTTCCAATTTGAATAGTCAATGACTTCGTTATTTTAAAAGAAGGGAAAAAAATCCTGGATTCAGATTAATTTTTGAATGTATCAGCCTTACTTATTATCATTGCTGAGATAATCAGATATTCGTGTTTCTGTAGTAGAAACATGTAGGTCATATTTAAGATAAAAATGAAATAAGAATATAACAGCAAGTTTTAGGGACCTTGAGTGTATAGGGACAAAAATGTTTAATTGTTTTCAAGTTACAGAATTTGTGATCACCTGCTAGTTAATGACAGACTCTTCTCAAAGTTGTCTTTACTTTATCAGGAAATAATGGATTAAATACTTTATGAACACTGTTAATGTCATTTTAATGTGCAAGGTTCTTCTACATGGTCAGTCATGCTGTGAGGAATTACCTAACTTGGAAATACTCTATATTGTAGTGAAGTAGCTTAGTACCATAAACTTGATGCCCATAGGGTTGTTCATTTCTTCTTCCTTTCAGTAACTTCTTCTGTTTTCTCTGACAGTCATGACAGCAATTACTTCAACCAATAGATGACAAGGAGGCATTTGTTTCCTCTATATTAATCACTTATGGAATTGCAGCCTCAGGGTATGTCCATCAAACTAGGCCACACAGGTTACATTCCTGAATTCCTAACAATACTCACTACACAGTAAATGAAAAGAGGTCTGAAGAAGCTGAGAATATCTTTTTCTGCAATGATAAGAAACCTCTCTTGACAATACATTTGGACAAAAACTGGAAAAGATTATACAGAGGTCTTAAATACTTGTGAAATAAAGTTGTTTTTCTAAATATTCAGTTGCTTCAGTTTATAATGGCATCTTTCATATTCCAGCAGTTAAACTACTCAGTAGAGCATCATTTTTAGCACATGTAAAATACTTCCATACCATGATTAAAATGTTTCCTTTTGATAGCATGAGAAATGTTTAAATACCTCTGCATAGCTTATCTGCACAAGTAAGATTGATTTTCTTTTTCAAAGCAAATTTATATGTAATATGAAATTTGTAATATGAAATTTGTAATGATTTTTTTTTTCCCCAAAAAATAAAATTTGGTGTGCTTCTTCCTTTGATTAGAAAGTCAAATCTAACTTCAGCCCTTCCAAAGAAAATGACAAATAAGATATTTTCAAATATGAAACATGCCAGCTAAATAATATCATGCTAAGTGCCTTATTCCAGAATATTGTCAAGTATGAAATAATTTCTCAGCAATGAAGAAATGTTCTAAATATTCTCACAAACATTGACACAAGTTTGACTCTATGTGCAGACCTAAAAACCAATTTTTTCCACCTTTATTTAACCATAACAGTGATATTCACCCAGAAAAAAAGTAATTCCTTATATGTATCAAATTGTTCCTTCTGAACATGGGGACGAGAGATTCCCTTGATTTTTAGGGAAGATTTTCTGAATTAACGGCCATCAGGAGTCTAGTGTTAGAGTAGAAACTTCCTTTGTCCCAGAATTTGCCTCTCTCTCCTCCCAGCAAATAAACCCACCACGATCAACAAAAAGGAAACACACACATACAAAGCAAAACAAAACGAACAAGGAATGTATAAGTATAAAGTAAGCATAATGCAGAAGAAGAAACCGATTCATTTAAAGATGAAAAAAACATAATTTGTCTGTGAAGAGGAGAAAAATTCCAAATTAATTGTTTATTATCTTGTAATGATCTTTGGAATATACGTAGCCTGAAGTCCTGTGGTCAAAACAGTATCAGCTGAAGGCAGTTTATAACAAAGATAAAGGGATAAAAAAAAATGATTTTTTTTTTTGACCTTCTAATTACTTGTCAATTTCTGTATTTTTTATTTATTTATTTATTTTATTTTATTTTATTTTTTTTACAGGCCACAGAGAAGAAGTGTACTTTCTTTCCTGATGAAAAAGCTTTACTGCAATCTGGCAATTTCCTTTGATTTAGCAATACTTTTCCAGGAAGTTTAACATTTTAGCAAGATTCAAACACTTTTCTTTGAGTTCTTGGAAAAGAAACAAGCCTCTAAGTGTTATTTTCTTAATGTGGAATTTCTATTAATGAAGTTCTATAAGAAGATATCAGAATATAAATGTAGAGGAGTTTTCTGGGTTTCATCTGTCTTATCTCTCCATAACACTTTGATCGTTAAAAATGATGAAATGATAATGTGACCGACCTCCCCAGATCTGCTGTTTCTTTTTTATTTTAGAAATTTAATCACATGTAACTATGGAGACTGTGGCAACAGCAAAACTGCTCAGAATTCTGGAGTTTTGCTAATAAAACATTTTAAAACAGGTTCTTAATGCAATGTGCAGTAGTTTTTGCATAAGGGCCAATATATTATGCTGTCTGTATCTGCTGTGTTACCACTGTATAGCCAAACTGATGATAAAATAATAGCCAATTTAATGTCTAAATTTGACCATAATACTAATATTTTCAGAAGACTTTCAGAATGCTGAAAGGATGTTATTTCACAACTGAATAGGTTAGAATTAAATCTTACAATTCACTGCTGTTCCCCAGCTTCTTAAGTCTTGGAATTATTATTTTCCAAGATTTTTTCCATGGACTTAGCACTGAATAGCACTAAATAAAGACAGGAGAGGAGGGAAGAGAAGAGAGGGCAGGACAGGACAGGACAGGGTTATGACAGGGACAGATCCAGAGCAAAACGCCCCAGGTTATCACATATTCCTGACTGTAAACCAGGCTCTTCTTTCTGCAGCTTTGGCTTCGTTCTTCCAGCTTTTTGGCCAAACCAAGTACTTGCAGAAGACAGCCTCTCATACTTCATGCGCAGCCTGATTCACCCTCCAAGTCTGGAACATACAGAGTGGGGCAGAGGTCATTTGAGAAAAAATGTTTTGTGATCATTAAAGTATGCAATATAACATCATGGACAGATGAGAGGAGTGAGGGAGTGTTGCAGACTAACAGGGAGTGTCCTGAGGTTCAGGCTCTCCCTGCTGAAATTCTGTACTTCCCTCGGTTTTAGGAATTGCCACGTTCACAGGAAAGGAATGCAGTGGTATTTGGTCACTTAGACTGGAATCAACATTTGCACAAGAAAATGTTAGACATGTAAGTAAATAGCTATTTATTAACCTCAATATTAACTCTACAGTTACAAGGTTAGTACCAGCTACACTGTAAATGATGTTTAGGTGAACCCTGAAGGATTTTTTCCTTTTGGTATCTGGATAGCAAGTGGTGAAGACTTTCACACTTCTTGTCAAGACTGAAGTTCAATCCTCCTGCAAAATAAGTCTTGGATATAAACTGATACTTCCAATACTGAACTTCTGAGTTTTCGTTCAGATTCAGCCTCCTACCTCCTAAAATAAGCACATTCAGCATTTAATGTTTGCCTTCACACTTCTGCTGGCGGATTGTTTATAACCCCCACCTGCTCTTTTAGAAATTAGAAGCACCTGTGGGCAAGGTGTAGGCTCCCAACAGTAAGCAGAAGTTTTTAATGACAGTCCTGCTGCTGAAATATATACAGACTAGAAATGTAGGACTGGTGGTGTGGGATTAGGCCCTAAGGGCATGTATAGTTGCTTTATGCACTGAAACATATTTTTCTATCAGTAAACCAAAAAATCCATACTTATGTAAGAGCACACACAAAGCATTGCTACTTCTTTACCAGACAGGAAGGTAGCTATGTAGCTTCCTGGATGATGATTATAATCATAAGTGAATACTATAAGTGAAATCATAAGTGAATATTACTAGCCCTGGCTCTGAAAAGTGTCTTTGTGACAGGCTGGAGATCTTTAGTTCCCTTTCCTGTTAGATCTGAGCTGACCATATATAAACAGCTGGATTGCTGTCTTTGTTACTCTTGAATGCTTGACTTTAAAAACCATGACACTTTCTTTAAGGTGCTTCTTTGGTTCTAAATAGACTGAAACAGAAGCTGTCATTTTAAGTAATCAGTTAATTGGCAGCAATGGAAGGTTGCTGTCCTCTCTGTGAATCTCTGATGTTTTAGTGGTGGTTTGCAAAGTTCTTATTAGCAAGGGAACAGGGAAGTCAAAGACGATAAATATTTTCTTTAAGATCATATTATTATTATTATTATTTTAATTCTCATGTGTTTTTTTCTAACCTTTTTCTCAGAAGCAGCTAGATCATTTTGACTGGCACATTACCCATGGCCTGCTTGCCTGCAGAAGCACTCCTCCCAGATCTCAGATTGCATTACTGTCTTGCAAAAAAGCTGTAAAACAAATTGGCAAGGTGTGTGTGTGTCTTTTTCCCCTACAGATAGGGCTACAAAATGAAAACCACTCTAATTACTACTACGAGCTCAAGTCCCAGTGAAGTCCTACAGAGGAAAATACCTAATCTTGCTACCTAATATATCGTGAGCAGGCGTTTTTGGTTTTAAAATAGTTAAACAGTAAAACGTTAAGAAATGCCAGGATTAAAATTTGCTTATGGTGCTGAGCCTGAATTCTCATATCCTATTGCTGAGCAAAGTTTATCATTTGAGGCTCGATGATGTGCTAAATGCAACAGTATGGCTTTTCATTCAGAGCTGGCATGTGTCCTGCTGGCTCAGCGCTGGGGTGGAATATTCATGTGCCTGCCTGCGAAATGCCATGTAAACAAATGCTATGGGGGGAATTTCCAGGAGTATGTAATGGCTAGATGTACAAGGGCATGTTGTGTCAGTGAAATGGGATATCTTCCTTTAGTGGCGTATGTCTTCACCATCTGCTTAAGGTATCTCATAGCTTGGTGTTTGGAAAAGAAAAAAAAAAAAAAGCGTAGGTGAGGTATAGATTCTAATCCCAAAGGCAGACCAGGGCACAGAAACCCTGCTCTCCCACATCCTGTATGACCGTCTTAATCATAGGGTAGTACATGATGATGATTTTTCCTGTGTGTCTTGTTTGGGCATATATATGGTCTAAGCACATATACCTGCAAGTGGGAAAGATTCAACATGTTTAGTCTGTGAATAAGAAACAACTTAGCCCCTGCCTCTGCCTTATGCATCTAAAGTGGTACGCATTTAGGTACGTACCTAAAACTAAGTGTAGTTCCTTAGTAGTAACTTTACTAACTTTTTTTTTTTTTTTTTTTTTTTTTTTTTTTTGTTAACAGGGACTAGGTTTTGACAGGCATAAAAATTTTAAGTCTTGAGCTTCTTATGAGCCTAAGGTATAAGGTATCAGCTTCCTCTGCCCTAATAATAGCCATAAAATAATTTTGTTTGTCTGAAAGGCAGGTTTATTGTGCTTAGGCTAATTAAATGAGATTATCATTGAGAAAAAAAAATCTGTTTCATTGTATTAGAGAGCTGAACATCCATGGAAAACATGCTGCATTCAAATAATGACAGAAACTGTTTTGTTAGGGATAAATCCTGAGGATAAGCATTGTTTTGTATAGCTTTTTACTAGACAGAATATAGCAAGTATTTTTTTTTTTTCCTTTTAATTTTTATTTATGATCTTCCATGTCTCTCTTAGGCTCTCTCCCCTCTGAAGTAAGCTATGCATTTTGGAAGCTTGGAAAGGAACATTAATATTTGATACATGTTTATACAAAAACAATTCATTTAATAGCTGCAGGGGATAGTTGTGTAGAAATAGGATGATTTATAAAGCACAGGGTCAGCTTTGGAGTTTTTGAAGCCTTAAGCAATGGATGATTACAGTGCGCCAAATGGGATCAGAGATAGCAGAGTTTGCACCTGCACTTGCTTTTTCAGCCTTTGTACTCCATGCAATTGATTGCTCAGAGGCCCTCAAGGCTGTCCAAGATGATATGGTCTGACCCAGTAAAATGAAAAGTCAAAATATCAGGTGAAAAACAAAAGAGCAAAGAAAAATTGTCTATGCAGAGAAGGTGTGTCAGAAGTTGAATTAGCAGCTGGCTATTCTGTGTTATGTCAAAAAACATCACAGCTCTTATTTGTTTTAGATCTTATTGTATGTAACTGGCAAGTGTGGTCCGGACTGTTGCTGTGTAACACTTTTACTACAGGCTGTGTTAGATTCTTTGCCAACTAATGCTTTGAAAAGCAGTGACAAAATGGTGTGAATAAAGAGTTGAGAGCCAGTCCTTAGATTCTTAGCTTCTAGTCAGGTTAACTGTGAAAATTTGAATATTAAATGCCAAAATGAAGCTATGAAGAGCCATCTCTATAAAATATTGGATGCTATATTGGATGATCTTTTTTGTTTCTTTTCTCACAGCCTTTACATTTGAAAATTAGTGGTTTTGAAACTCCAAAATTCCTGTTATCCATATGTCCCAACTTTCATAACCTGGTGAATTTAATCATATTTCCAACTCTGCATTCACTATCCTATAATCCAAGAATTATTTTCTGTAAATGTAGTTCTGTTGGTTTTGCATATTAGTTGGTGTCTGACCTTATTATAAAACCTCTTGCTGTGATCTCAGTATGTAAATTTAGCATGCAGAGACCTTAAGCACTTTTTAGAAGCCAAAAAAATCCATGATGTCTGGCTCCATTATGGTACCAGGTTAAAATTTGTTACTGCTCATATATGCATTTTGAGCTGCATGGTAAATCCTTCTTGATTTTTTTTTCTTTTGTTCAGTGAATCCAGACCTTTCTTTTTGCTATTTTCATTCGAAGATGATGTAAATTTGACAAGCTAATTTTAGTTTTGCAATGATCAGAAACATCAGTAATAAGAAGAAGTAGACATGCTGATTAAAACAGCTAGAAGTGCCACTTAATGAACTAAACATCTCACCAAAACTAAAAATAGTATTATTTCTTTAAACTGTTTCACACCAATGAAGTGCATGAATCTTTTACCAGTGTTTCCCAGAGAAACTCCTTCCCCCACTATGAGAAGATAAATCCATGTGAGAAACTCTGGACAAGAGTGTGCGCAGGCTTGCTGATAAGAAAGTTGAAGGCCTTTGAAGATTATACATTCATTTAGAAACAAAGGCTGCCTTGTGGATCTGCCTTTTCCCATAATGTTGGTTAAACTTTTATAAGCTTCTGTTTGTTGCAAATATTCATACTTCTGTTCATGAAAAATATCCTCAGAGTACTGATTGTGTTGCTCAACGTGTAACATGGAGTGGTGTCTGAGCAGATTTTAAAGGAGTTAGTGGGCCATCTGGGTGCCCAACTCTGAGCTCTGTGTGCCGGTTCACATTATGACAAGAAATAAGTGTTTGGAATATTTATAATTTTGCCCTCTCCAATTTTGCCCTCAAGAATCCAAGTGCAAATACAAAAAGGTGAAAGTAGACATTTTCAACCTTTTCATCCTAGAGATTTTTCTTCTTCTGAAGCTAGTAATTTTTTATGAATAGAAAGTACAAATTAAAAGTACAAATTAATGTCCAGAGCAAATTAACAGTGTAATTTAGAGGGATGAGTTTGGCAGACTGCTTGTGTGTTTTGGGGGAGAGAGGGAAGGGAGTATTACAGGCATCCATTTATCGTTTTTGTGTTTTGACCCCAATTCAAATTAATCTCTTTAATGCTTTCCCCTTATATCCTACCTTGACCATGCAAATAAGTTCAAAGTGTGGTGTCTGTGCTTGTAAAAGTGCTCACTTATTAAGGGATCTTCTGAAAGTGTCCTTTCAGTGTTGAGTTGTGACTCATATGTCTTTCAGCGGACTTCTGCTGCTGCTCTGTAGTCTCTGAAGGATTATTTACATGTCTTCATGCCTTGTGGCACTTTTGAAATTGCTCTTAAGTGGTCAGATGTGTCTGCCAGGTTATTCAATTAACTTCTGCTTCTGCAAGCTGGAGCCCACGCTGGAATGAACACATTCACAATCCAATGACTGATGCAGCTGCCCAGGCTGTATCCTTTATCAGGAAGAACTGTTCTTTTGGGCTAACAACCACAAACACAGATCTGGATGGCTATTCTCTGGTTGCTTCTTTCAGTCTTGCCTCAAAGCCAGCTAAATGGCCATTTGTCCTTTTCTAGTGTTAGGTGATCAATACTGACTGGTGGACAGACATCCAAAGAAATCATGGGTTTGGAAATATCTCTTGGGTTGGAAATATCTCTTTCCTGTCTTCCCTTTCTCATTATATACATATCTTATCTTGGTCTCATACAAAATTTTTATCTTTCCCAATGAGTAATTCCTGTATCTCTGCCTAGAGCTGAACACGTTTGCTCCCTGGCTCCTTCTTTCCTCTATTAAATGTGGTAACTACATCAAGTCTTTCTCCAGGCCTTCAGTAATACCCTGTTTTCAGTAAGCTGTCATAAACCTTTTCTATAAGGTTTCCAGTTTCCCTCTCTTCCGCTTTCATAATTTGGGGATTTAAGTCATCTGGGTCTACTGCTTTGTTGGCTTTCAGTAGTTCTAATTGCCTTCTTATCTGTTTTATGATGAGGGTAAA